TGGAATATATTTAAGGAAAGGGTATGTTTGAAACCGGTTCTGTAACGTCACACGGAGATGCTTTTTCGTTGTGATATTTTTTGTATTTAGAAAAACACATCTGAGCTTGTAGCCCCGAGTTTGACCTGGGTGACCAACTCCGAAATTTACTTATGCTTCTACGAAACTCGACTTTTACTGCTCCAAAGGTGCATCTTTGCTGCTTCCAGATTTGCTACAAAAGGCTGAAGCTTGCTTCCACCCCTGTATTGCTGACACTAGATGACACCATCGGACGAGGAGAAACCCTTCTCCTCGTCCGATGGCGTCATCTGGTGTCAGCGATAGCTCCGAGGTAATCAATATTTGATACCGGTCTTAATAGAGAAGTCGGCCTCGCGTGATGTAATCTTTGGTTTCTTGGGAGGCTTGGAACCCAATGATAGAGTTATGACGGTAAATGAGCTATCGCAGAAAGTGGTTTAGTACCCCTCTAAAAAGGTACCGACGCCTCGTCTAAAAGCCTCCGCTTTAAACCTCGTCGACGACCTTTGAATTGTCTGCATAAAAGGAATGTTTTCTATGGCGTCGTGCCAGGAGGCAGAAAAAGTCCATTGGAGCCGACATGCGGGATCGATTCCATTATTCAACGACTTCCAGTAAAGGATGTTAATTGGAACAATGCCTCGAACCAGGGTCCGCGCTTGTAACAGCCGGAGTTGGTGCGAGGGGGGAAGGAGCCTTCCGGTCGGCTCTTGATTTAGGCGAGCCTCGGCTTGTTGTTGCGCGTGGTTGCCGTGGTAGCCGGGAGGCTTTCCTTCTCGCCTCATTGATTTGCCTACGGCTCTAGGCAGATGTGCCTCGCCCAATGTCTCTCCTTCTGTCTTTATTTTTTCCTTTCAGTCTTATTTTAATGTTATTCTTTTTTAGCTAGTTTTTTTTTCTCTCTTTCACCACTGGCTTGCTTGTCTTCTCCCTGTGTGACAGCTCTCGTACCAGTCTTTGTGAGTCGGGTTGTGCGAGAACAGAACGGATGTTTGCCTTCTTTCTTTTTTTTTTTGTTTGTTATTTCTGCCTGAAAACACTACCGTACTATTCCGAGAAACAGCCCACCTAAAATCAAAAGCATATCGAGTGAAAGTAAGGACTAGGCTATTTTCAGTGTGCAATCAAGAATAAAGTTGAAAATATGCTAGTTTCAGATTCTGTGACCTACGAGACTTGCAATTCCAGGGATGAAGGACTGCTGTACTGCTGCTGTGCTGTGCTGTACTTCCCAGTCAGCAGTGTTCGCTTATCTCCCGTTTTGGCTAACTAACATAATTTCTGCTGAGGTCACCATTGTCTGGGGCCCTGCAATTAATAGAAGTGGGCTATCTTTTGGTGCTTTTACTTAAAAGAAATAGCGAATCGTGCCAACATTGGGTTGGGTTATCTTTTGAGGGTGAGGCATCTCTCCGGATACTAGGGCAGCATATCCCCCTGTCCAGTGGCGTACACAGGGGGGGGGGGGCCGAAGGGGCCGCGGAACCCCCCCCCCCCCCCTGAAATTTCCGAGGGGGGTGGGAGTCGGCGAGGTTACTGACTGTCGGGTTTATCAATATCAAACTTCGTGGAGAAGTTGTAAAAAAAACAAAAAAGAAATAAAAAGGGAAGGGAATGCAATAGGGGGGTGGGGAGGGGGCCCATTTACGACATAGCCTTAATTGTTCCTCGAGGACCCCGCTCTGGGTGCGTACCATGCGCTGTGCCTCGCTCGAGCACAGCGGGGCCCCTCAATGTTTTGTAGCCTTTTTTTTTTTTTTTTTGAGAAGGAGTTTTGGTACTGCTCTTGCACCTCGACGAGGGGTTTTTCCTTGAAGCGGTGTCCGGCTGACGGTCGACAGTTAGGGCGAAGGTTTTTAGGAGTTTTCGGGGGTCTATGCACGTGTCCTTTCTTAATTGGATTTTGTATTGTATGTGTTTGTTTTGTACCGCGTGGCTCCCATTGGTCTAAAAAGAGCGATATCTAATTGGCTCCTCAGATGGTGGGAAAAGTCTTAGAAAAGTGAATATAGGCGCCTAAAGGCGCGGGATTCGCGGTTCAAGGTTCGAGTACGGAAGTTGTCATCGGCAGTTTGAGAACCGCGCGAGAAAGGGGCACGAGTGTGCGACCTGCTGCCTCAGGACGAGAGCCAAGTGCAATATGTGAGTGTACAAACCATTTTACATCGTCCCTTTGTTGCGTCGTGTGACTTCCTTGACTTTCTTTTGTGAGCGGACTTTGGAAACCTTAGAAATCGACACCAACGAACAAATCACGTGAGATTTTTGTTGGTTAGATCAGGTTAAGATAGGAAGTACTTTATGGTGGAGCAGCTTTCCAGTGCCTATCGTCTATCCATCAAGATGTTCCGCGTTTCTACTTATGCATCATTGTTTTATCGGCCCCGATGACTGGAGGCTTTGTGCATTGGAGTCGTGCCTCATAAAATATTTGTTTTTATGATTCTTGTTTTCTGCTTACCCTGGTGCCTTCTTTTGACGTGACTTGTAAATAAAAAAAGTACAATGCAAATGCCTTCCTGGTGGGGAATTTCCGGGGCATCATTTTTATGTATCATAATCATCCCAAAACCAATATGACAACTTTATTTTAATTACTTAATAGAAGAATGCATAGTTCTTAGGAAAAAAAAAATGAACATGCTTTTATTTTCTCTTGGACTTTCTTCTCTTTTTATCTTGTCCCCCTTTACTCTCGTTGGTCCGGCCCCCCCGCGAAATGAAATCCTGCGTAGGCCACTGCCCCTGTCTATAAACGACAAAAAGTGGGTATATTTATTTATTTTTATTTTTATCACTGCCTTCAGGCCCACTCTAGGACATTACAAAGGGGTGGGACATTCACACTGAAAAAATTAATGCGATAAAAATACAGGCGGAAAATTTGCACCATTAAAGGAGCTGTGCAACGATATTCAGTTGGAATGTTTTTCACTATACACAAGCTTACTGGCACTAGTGGGAGTCAAGGATACTCGCACGCAACTCCACTGGCCAAGAAACTCCTTTGTTGCGGTGTAATTTCAAGGACAAAAGCAATCATTTTCATTCAATCTCTCCTTTGCAAAATTTGATGACGTAACGTGGGGATCGCAGTACACCCATATGACGATATTTGAATGCGGTTCATAGATTGGACCCGAGCATTGCGTGGGCACTCGATTTGGGCTCGTGATAATTACTAGCTCGAGAAGCATTCGTGTAGTGACCTGTGTCCAATCGCTGCAACGACAACAATTGCCGAGCCATAACAATATCTGGAACTCGGCGCGTGCCCTGTGCTTTGCCAACCCCAGCGCGTGGCTATGATCAACACTGGCGGCATGTAATCGGCTCCAGATCACGTAGCCGCTTGTTCTGGCTGCGAGTTGAGGGGGTGAACGGTGCTCGTTTTTCTTTAATTTTTTTCTGGGACTTCTATTGCGTGGGGTGAAAAATGAACGCGTGTTTCATAGGTCATTAATGTCAGGGATCCGTCCTAAGTGGGTGGTATTTGCGCAAAGTACAAAAATTGTTGCATCGCCCCTTTAAGGTTTACGCTTAGAAGAAAAAAAAAGATGCATACGAGTTACACCGTCGTATGAATCACAAGAAAGTAAATTCCAAAATAATTTTTAATATTATTTTACATCCGTGACACCACTTCTGGAAGGCACGAGAATGCTTTCAAAATCATTTTGACGTCTCGTCTCGTGTCAAAATGTTTGGTGTTCCTTATTTTGACGTCTCAAACCTGAACTTTGGAGCTTCGGAGTTTGGACTGGAACGTGATTGCAAGTGGCAGCCAAACAAATATTTTCTTGCTCGCGGGCGGCGGCGTGGTTCATCGCGCATTTTTTTAAAACAAATGTTGGGCAGTTGGCCGCAATTTTTATAACATTTTATTAATGTTGAATACAAAAAAAAAAAAACCACTCAAAGTACATTAGCTATTAGGCAACATGTAACGCTTGCTTGGTTGTGCCCAACATTACAGAATGCAGCACCAGTCCTTTATATGACTTATTTCGAGTGCTTTATATAAACAAAGGCACTGAATCTCGTGTTGTAAATTGTGCAGTTGATTGGATGGCATTTGCTGTTGGGAAATGCATGTATCTGTACAACCGCGTAAGAACCTTTCTTAGTTTGAAAGAGTCAAAAGACATGAAGGAAGCAATGTTTGCATTCACAACCTTTTATTTAACATCCTGAATGTTGTGTAGTTGCCCTGCTCATTATACGCGAAGCAAAAAGAAAGTCTAAAGTAAACAAACTCGCAAAGCCGGTTGAAAGGGGGCGGGAGCCAGGTGCAAAGTAAAACTTCGCAACCATGCAAAGACACGCTCGCTCAAAATTTTAATGCGAGTTGCATGCCAAACTGACGCGCGAGGGCCGAGAACGTTGCCGCCGGGTGCGTCACATCTGCAAGGATTATCCATGGGGTCAGTCCCACACATATTTAGGCACAGCTACGCAGGACTCTGTCAATATGGAGTCCTGCGTACCGACAACACGATCAGAAACTCAACAGAATGAAGCATGAAACGGCCTTTACTGCTAGGGCTGCATCGACGGAGGACCAGGGGACGTCTAAATAATAGCGTGAAAATAATAAGTACACTATTTTCACGTTTGACATAAGTGACGTACGTCAAAACAAGTTTTAAGATATTTTGGCAGTAGACGTCGGTATAGTCACTGCCTTTTGCTTTGAAAGGTTAGCACAAACTAACCATCCTAAGACTACTTCGACACGAGGCTCTGCACGGTCACACGGCTAATACGTAATGCAAAAGGCTGTTTGCGGACGTGTTCGAAGCGTGTATGAAGCAAACATCCTTGAACACGTCCGAGGCTTGCCCGTAGATAATTCAGTCACCGTGCCTGCACCGAACGCCGTGTCTCTTGTACGATGTGCGAGCAGTGTAGCTGTGGCTTTGGGATGGTTGGCGTTGGTCACTAGTGTAATCGCTGGTCTTGTTTTTTCTTGGCAGGGGGTGGAGGCAAGCGTGAGCCCAGTGACGATGGGCGGGGAGACGGAGAAGTCCCGAACAAGCGGCCCCGCAGCAGCGGTGGCCGCGCCGTCGACGTTCGCTTCCTTCTTCAGAGCAGGGTAAGTATTTGCGGCGAAGTTGCGGGGTGACTGGCGGTGACGTTACTGCAGTCGGCGACTGGTTAAGGGGAGAAAGCTCCTCCCACCTCTGGTGGGAATGCTGGAAAGCGGGCGACCTCTCTGGTGTCTGCCCTGCTAAGGTGGAAAGGGGTGAGAGGGGCTTCCCCAGAGCTCTTAAGCTGTCACCAACTGTAAATCGCTTTGGTAAATTCAGTAAACTTTATGAAGGCTCAGAGCGTGCGGGAAGTATGGCAGTGTGCCTAAGTTGCCGCTCGTATGATGAGCGTGAGATGCAAAAACGCAAATGATCAGATGCTCCGAGTGTTTCTATAAGTTACCGATTTAGTTGTCTTCAATGACGCCCGGCATGTTTCTAATCGGAACCATGTCTAATTTCACTAACTAAAAAAAAATCAACGAACGACTTAATTTAATTGTCCGATTTATTGCGACCGCCTATATTGCGTCCCCTGGCCTTTGTACCGAAAATGGGGGTCCCTCCCAATATGGGGCCTTCTTGCGAACGAAGCGGCCGGATCGAATGGCGCACGAAAAGGAGGAAAGTAATTGTCCCCTCATTTGGGATTTGAGATGGGGAGGAGGGTTTTGCGTCCCGATTGCGGTACCTGGAATGCGTCTCTGACGGGTGCGTCTAGCTGGAAAGGAGCCTGCAACGGAACAGCCGTCCGCCTTGTTTTTCCCCACTGCTGCGACACCGCGAGAATTGCGGCCGGCATGACGCCTCTGCGACGACGTCGGGCAGAAATAGAGGGACGGCGTCTTTGGCCGTACAAGCGCGCCAATCGGAGAAGCGTCGCAGGCGCCGTGTTTGAATGTGGCGTAGATCTGAGGAGCTCTTTTGATTTGTCCAGAATGCTGGTGCCATCATCGGCAAGGGCGGCGCCAACATCAACAGCCTGAGAAAAGAGGTGAGTGGGGTCTCCCTGGCGGTTGCATCTCCCTTGGGCACTTTTGGTGGAGTACCCCCATCCACGTGCGAGCCGGCCGACTGCTCTTCTTCAGTCGGTTTCGCCTCCGAAGTCAGCGTCGCTGCAGACAGGACCGCGGACATGTTTCTCGGCTTTGGTTGGACGTTTGCTTCTGAAATGGACGTTTTTAGTACCGGGCAAAACATTCTCGGATTTTTGCTTACACCAGCATTTTAGGGATAATTTTTTTTATTTTCTTAATTAGCTTTTTGTGCCCTAATTGAAGCAGAAGCATTACTTTTAGGAGGAGGGGGGGGGGGGGAACGTACATATTTTGTTACCACTTCTGGTTTTAATGATGCTACACCGACCATCACATACAAAAGTCTTACATTTAAACCATTAAGAAAAATAATTTAGAAGCTTTAACCTCGCTGCGCACCTCTCCTGTAATAAAAAAAAAATATTATTTTTATTTATTTTCGAGGTGCTGCGGTAGATACGACAGTTGCACCGTAAAATCTGCAGCCAAATGCGAAATTTGGCAATCGTAGATGTGGCAGAGCATGGCGCTGATATGCCCACAACCGAGACGTGTTCCGTGGTCCGTCGGAGGCGATGCCCGGCCCAATGGGCCACGTGTAAGGGTCAGTGAGGAAGGCAGCGGCAAGTGCAGCACACGGATCTTTCTTTTTTCTGGCTACTCGATCAAAAGCTGCCTTTCGCTTACGAGTTCTGTGCTTTGGGCCTGTCGTGCGCATGTCCCCGCCCCCGCATGCTCGGGCCGTGCCCTCGTGCCTCGAGGGGTAGCATGCCACATGCACCGCTGCCTTTCTCTTTTTGTTCTACAGCGAGTCCCTCGTTCGCCATTTGTTCGTCACGAGGAAACTGGTGGTGGCCGTTTCGGTGGTGGTAGAACGTTTCGGCCAGTACACCCTCTTCGAAGTTTGGTGCGGCGTCGGCTCCGCATTGTCGTGACCGCTTTCGGAGGTTCGACTGCCGCGGCAAGGTGTCTCTCTTTGCAGCGCACCTCCGGCTTCTCTGCAGGCAGATTGAAGGGGAGTTCTGGCGGCTTTTCGGGCAGCCCACACTAAACGTGTTTTCAGAGGGCCCAGGTTTGACCCTTTTGGGTGCTCTATTGGTTACCTCTAAATTCAAGGTGGCTATTGAGAAAACTGCGAACGAAGGCGATGTCAAAACCAACGTTAAAAGTTTCCCGCGCTGTCCGGCAGGGCGACGTTGCCCGTTGCATAACCCGCGAGTCGAGCGGGCGGCCTATAAAAACGGAGCATTTCGCGCTTGCTTTTTGGTTTGCCGGCTCGAGCTTAACCGGCATTCGTTTTGGATCATCGAGCTTCTTGTAACCCATCAGGAACGAGCTGTACTGCCCCTTTCTTGCTCCATATTACATACCTGCCAAGTTTCCTGTATTACACAGGAGACTCCCGAATTTTGACCAGTTTGTACGGTTGTACAATCGACAGAAAAATCTCCCGGAAAAACATAAATTGACTCCCCCCCTCTCCCTCCCGCACTTAAAGAAGGAGTTTTTGCCATAACAGCGGATGGTTTCAATCCCATCAGCATGAGCAGTGCAATATATATATATATATGTAATGAATTTGTCTTCATGCAGATTTGTTGTCAATTGTTCTTTTTAAAACACCAGCTACCCCCCTGCTTAGATATTCTCCCGGATTTGGTTTCTCCGAACTTGGCAGGTAGGATATTACAGCATCTGACGTCGCGTCTTCGGTGTTGCCAGGGGAGCCTTTCGGCCTCTTGGACCGAGCTCGAAACCTAAATAACTTGGCGGGAAATAATTATTGCGGCTGGAATTTTGGTCACCAGTGGTTCTGACGCGTCCATTAATGTGTCAAACCAATTACGAGACAAATCGGCGACTGTCGAAACTTCGCCGGAGCTTCCCCTCTACGTCGTCTCGTTCTGCGTCTGCCTGCCACGCTCGCCGGTGCCTGCTGCGTTGCACCCAGCTTCCGAAGGGGTGTGCTCGGGTCGTGCGAACAGGTCGAGACTAATCCAAAAGTTGCACGAGAACAAACGGTCTCCGTCGGCAACCGGGGAAAGAGCGCACCGTCGATTGCTCTCAACAACGGAGATCTCTCGTAATGCGGCGTCCACGAGAGAGGGTGTAAAGGTTCACACGTTTGCGTTTTCAGTGCGGCCGGGTGCATCTGGAGCGCCTGCGAATGCTTACGTCGCAAAGATGCAACACTGATGCCATATATGGAGGCCCTAGAATACCTTCGACCTGCGTGTGACCAGACCGAAGGCTTTACGGTGTTTGGAAAATTGAATCTACGCACTATCTACGAGGGAGGGTTCTTGTGATATTGTGAGAATTATTTCGAGCGCCACGTGCGAGAAATGGCAGCTTATAACATGGCGAGAGGTTTCGAAGTTTAGGGTGAAGGAATGGTACCATAAAATAAATAAGGAATATATGCAGATATAAAGTTACCGTAAAATAATTAGGAAATATATGCAGATAGGTGTTCCAGGGTCACCCGGTAGATGGAGCTAGTTTGTTTTCGTGACACATTCAAATGCATTGCGGTCGTGTGATGAATTTGGTTGCACTCGAGTGCAAATGTGTGAACCGGCTTTAAGCAAGCGAACTTGCACCACCATCTTCCTATGTACGGGTCGACTCTTTGGCTCTTGTTGGGTGTGACAGTGTTGCGCCCTTTCCCGGGTTACCGTAGGTGTTCGGAGGGATTCGCTGCGTGTCTCTAATTGCGTGTGTTTTGTGTAGCTAATGGCAAAGGCACCTGCTTGCACCACTAGCACCCTGACTAAAAACTAAAAAAAAAAAAAGATGGAAAGAATCTTTAGGCCTGGCGGCACTAACCCTTCCCCCTCCCTTCTGGCTGACTACCCGCGACATGTGTCGTGTTGCACGACGGGGCGTCTGGACTACGGTTCAACCGAAGACGGGCTTTCACAGACTTTCGGTCCGGCGGCACTTTCGGGACTGCGTTTCTTGCCGCGTACACTTGCAGTTGCCGTTAGTGGTGGGGTTCTTTATGTTCTTCGAACGGTGAATGTGCCACAGTTTGACAGACAGCAACAGTGGCATTAGCAAAATGTGGCCAGTGGGCATTCTCTCGCGACGGGTGCATGAAGCATTCTCAACCCGTAAATTAACGAGTGTAGATTCTGTTCACGTTGGTCTCGTCTTCATGCACCCCCCCCCCCCCCCCCCCCGTAAATATTTCTCTCCGGCAATCGTTGGCAGTGGGGTTTGCTACCTCTTCAAATATACGAATGCTGTAACCTCATCTGGAGATTTCTTTCGCTTGCACACACCAAAAAATATGCGTGCCAAATGAAGCGACGGCTCTCGGCCAATTGTAATATTGCAGCTGCTTCATTGTTCCTTTTGTGTGTGTTTAGGCAGAGGGAACCTAGCCTAGCCAGTGCAGTATGTGTATCGCGCAATAGGGGTACACAATAGCATGCAGGTACGAAGCTGGTCGAGATTGAAACGGGGATAGGGTGGTACCGAGCATGGGACTCCTAGGCTCTTCGGCCCGAGCGTTCGCCCCGGATGCTGCGAGCTCGGTGCGTTAACAAAGACTCGGCCAACGATCCCCCCTCGCCCTATCTTTGTGCGACCATCTTTGGCTAGGCGACGACTAAGCCGTCGCGTCTCGTCTCGAATTTTCTCCGGGGCAGACAAAGAAGATGTCGAACTTCGTGCGAGCCGTAGTCCAGGCTCCGGTACCCTGCGGACACGCGGTACTTTCCGTTTGAACGGATGCCATTGACGAGGTCCCTGCAGCTGTGCTGGAACGTGGCTCGCTTTCTTTTATTTTCGTTTTTACTGTTGTCCGGCCTTGGTCGCTTTCGCGGGGCAGGTTTGTGCCGCGAACAATGTCGGACTTCGCGAGGGTCCGACGGCCTCATCGTCTGCAAACGACGGGCATCTCTCGAAGCATGCCCAATGTCAATGAATCGGTCGGCGCGAAGTCGCCGGAACGTTCCCGGGTCGCCAAGTCCCAAAGCCCTTGCCGCGTTTGAAGGTGGAGTGCACCGATTGGCCGCTTTCGGCGGCCGGTCGGAGTCAACCGATCCGAGGCCAATGTTGCGGCTTGTAAACGAGGCAGAAGCTCGTCCGTTTTACTTAGAGCCACTCGATACGCCGTGCTTAAAGGTTAGCATATCGGTTTTGACGCAAAGTCTGCGTTACTGTCAGTGCCAAGTCTACTCCGAGTGAGCGCATTGTGGTGTTGGTGAGTAAAAGGAGGTGGGGTCACAGGCGGCGGAGTGCTGGTATAGCACCGAGTCGGCGCCGTGCATAGAGTTTATATAATAATCTAGAGGAAAACGTCCCATGCATTCGCACCGCTGCGGAACGGCGGGGCACGGGCGTCGGCGGTCTCGACGGGCCCCTACCGCCGGTGACGCCTCATATACACGAAGAAACGGCAAAACGTTGCCTGCAACGTCTGTACCTAGTAGCTCTTTCCTAGCTTCCTTGCAGGAAAACACCGGGATTGCTCATTGTATAGAAATTTGGCTGACGAGCGCTCGAGCAACTTGAACTCGTTGCAGCAGAATGGAACGGACCTAACCTTTCATCTGCTTTCTCTCTCCGCTCTTCTGCCACTCTCTTTTTCATTCTTTCTCTCGGAACAACCGGTGTCGGCACTCGGGATTTTCTGCGTTCTGTTCCCTTCTTTAATCCCCGGTGCTGCGACTCCATTGTTACTCTAGTGGCTCTAGTTTGGCGTTGTCTCGAGTTTCTGCCGAGTTGCAAACAGAGGACCAGCCTTTTCTGGTTTGCTGGCACAGTTAATGTGCTGTTAGATTTTTTTCTCTTTTCTCTTTTTTTAAGCTTGACATTGCTTTGATTTGCCGCACGTTTCGTTGGGCACAAAGTCGTGCGGATAAGTAAAATACTAGCTGTTTCTTCTTGAGTTTTGAGGCAGCGGTGTCTCCGGTCGGCAACGGGAACGCCGGCGACTCGCGGTGGTTGGCGCTGCGTGTCTGTTCCCGCCTCGTTTGCAGACGACAAGGGCGCGACACGTGGTGTCTGTGTGGGCGTTTTGGGGGGGGCGCGGGTGGGGGCAAGAGCAGGTGCCTCTGTAGGCCAGGGTCCCCCCCGGACTAGGACGAGTGCAACGTTGTTCTTGTCGCCCCTTCTTCTTCCCCTCTCTCCATGGCCCCCTTTGGTCGGGCGTGACCCCGTACGCAAACCGCAAATGCCACCAACGAATGTCCCCTGTCCTCCGACCCCCGACCGTTCCCGCTGCCCCAGTTCAAAGCAAGTATTTCGGTGCCAGACTGCCCCGGCCCAGAACGGTAGGACCTCTTTCCCTCTTCTAGCCGGCCCCCGGACGCCCTCCTCCCCCTTCTCTGCCAGGTGGCGCCGGGGTGCACCCAGGCGGTCTTTCACTTCGGCTTTCGATCGGCCTGACTCGGCCTGTGGGCCTCAAAAGAACTATTTTGTCGTTGGCACGTGCGCTGCGCCTCTGTATAAAGAGTGCGATTCGAGTTCCTTTGACGATTGCAGTGGTTGCGGGCATACTCCGCACTAACCCGACTAACCTTTTTGCTTAATTGAGATGCTGGAGCCGAACTGAGGCTTCCAGCCGAACTGGAAAGTGGGCCGAATTGAAGCATCCACTCAACTTGCAAATTATGGCTGAACTGAAAGTTAAACCAAATTGAATTGTCCGGTCAAATTGGGAAACAAGCCAAATTGGAACGTCTATCCATATTTGCAACTTTGAGCTGAATTGATGCTTCAGCCAAATGGACACTTCGGCCGAACTGGGTATTTCCGAATTGGCACGTTTAGCCGAATTCGCAGGGTTTAGCCCGATTGAGGCTTCAGCCGAATCGACAGATATTCGAAAGGGCCGTGACAGAAGGTATCAGCATCAGAGTTGACACTAATCCTTCTCTGACATGTGACCTGGGCCAATGCTGAATGCGATTGTCCTCGACATAAATCTTTGAATCACACTTTTTTACCGAAAGGCGTCACACACAAATGATTTGTATTTTTGTTCAGATTTTATGGAGCAGGTGGATCAATAAGAGCCCCAGAAAGCTAGAAGTGAAAAATCTCTTCAGTGCACCTGCTATCAGTACAGTTCAAGCTGAATTTGTTTTTACAAGTATTGGCATTACCATTGTGGAAACGCACATAACATGTGTCGCGATCCCGGAACGTATCTAGAGGCCCGACTCGATGTGACGTCCCTGCCACTTTCACAAGTGGTCTTTAGCTTAAAATTGATTGCTCGGATCTGTAGAGTAAGCATCTTTTTGCCTGGGTCAAGTGTTGTGTAGTAACAAAAAGTAGTAAACTTTTTTTTTTTCTTGCCTCGGAAGTAGATTGGTTTGAAAAGTTGTAATGGTCCCTGCTGATGCGCAGTTTGTCTGCAGAACGAATCAGCCACACGTCCAACAGAAGAGGCGGCATTTTATTGAACCAAGGTCCAGAGCTCGAATTTTTAGGCAGACTTTCCTACTAATAATATACATTTTATGTTAGCGGCCGTTTCAATTAGTGATGATACCTTTGACGGGGGTCTATCTTCAAGTTGAGATCAAAAAGAAAACGTATTGCCGCGTAGATGTCGCCGTAGTAACTGCAGGAGTGTCCGGGGGCTGGTGCGGTCCCCTTTGCACCGGGGACGAGAGTTTTGCTAAACGCGGTCCTCCCCTTTGTTCGTGGGGCTCCCTAGCGGACCCCTCTCCCAAATGTCGCTTCCCTCCCCGCCAAAAAAGAGAGAAGTGCAGAAAAGACGCCGGGTCGAGAGTGCAAGTCTTTTTTGGGCCTGCGTGAATGCCTCACTAACTCGTCCACCGCTCGTTAATGAAGTCACCTACAACGCCTCTAACAAAACGACGACACCTTTCGAGTATGCCGAACATTACGCCCCCTTCATCGTGGCGTGGGGAACCTGCACTCTGTGTGTGGCAGACGGATGCTGCCCGCTGCGCTCGACCGTCGTATCCCCAGCTTGGAATATTGGGGAGGCGTCAGCACAGGATCCCTTCGCTGACAGAATGTGGTTGCTTTTGCGTGGAAGGTCAGCTGATTGGGGACGTTTTTTTGGGGGTGGAAAGAAGGATGGTGTTGACCTTTAAGTGTTCGTCCAAAGGTCAAGTCCGGCCCAGAAAGCCCCTATTTTAAAAACCGCTCGTCTGGGATTTAATGCGAGATTCCAGGAATAGGGTGTTTCGATTGCCCGTGGGAGGAGGGGGTATCCTCCGAAATGCTGCAGCATGTGTCCGTGGCCATCCTTCAAATGTTGGCGTCGACGGTGCTTTGGCCTCGTGCAGTCTTCCGCAGTATGTGAAGTAGGAGCGTTGTCGGGTCTGCGGACAGAAAGGTGCGAGCAAAGACCTTTGTCTCTAGAGGTCTTCGCCGTTGTCGTTGGATGTCAAGTGTGGAAAGGGCTTTCGGTTCTAATACAAAGCGAGCATTCTGCAGAGGTATGCTCTTAGAATGCCTTTGCTTTTCCTGATATAGCTCTTCTCCAACGCCCCCTCAACGGCAGGGCCTCGCTATCTGGGAGGTGTTTGCAGTGCACGCCACTCTCGAGACCAAGTATAGACATTTCATAGCCTGATCAAAGATAGTCGAAGGCAACTACTTCCAAACGCAAGTTTGTGCTCTTCTGTTGAGTATCTGGGGCACGAGTTTAGGTCTACTACCGCAGGCTGCGTTAATATGCCAAATTTGAAAGCGGGTTGACAATGAAGTCTTTGGGGGCGGAACTTTCTGGGCCGGAGTTGATCTTGGGGCACGGTGGGCGGGTGGGTGCCCCCCGCGACGGAGTGTTATCCGTCTGCTTTTGTCTTCCCTGGCACGCTGCGGCTGTCCCCCCAGGATCTTGTCCATTGTGGCAGACTTGGACACCCTCGGAGAAATTCTGGCCAGCATCATTCCCAAGCTGGATGACGTGAGTACCCAGGTTCGGCTCCCTCTGCTCTTCTTTTCGTTGGGCGTCGACTCTCGTGCGCGTTAATTTTTAGGCTATTCACCGACAAGATGAAAGCAGCAGGGAGGCGTCTCAGTTGTCCCGTCTCCAGCGTACATCTGCTACCTTCGACAGTACGGTAGACACTCATTTATTCAAACTCCAGGAGGCCACAAATTCTGTTTATGTTATCAGAAATTACCCTAAATGTGATGCAAGTTAAAGTTATGATTTGTTATACGAATGGCTCCACATACAAAGCAGATATTGGATGATTTCCTCTACACGGGCCTCCCGATCATAAGAGGGTATGCCACACGTGAAACACAGGTGAAATGTACGAGATAAGTTTACTCATCCCTCAGTAATGTGTATCGAGAACTGTTTAGACAGTATGTGACTCTTCAAGGCAGAATTACGTTTGTTCATCTTTCAAAAATGCGGTCTATTGTGGACTGTTAGCCCCACTGAGCTCACTTACGGAGTGCCGGCGAGAAGTAACACCAGCAGAAGCGAGCTCCACGGCGTTGCTTCTCCTCAGTACGTAGGTGCGTGGTAAGAAGTGCACTCAACAGGGCTGTGAGATCAAAAAGTATGAACTACATGAAAATGCCGTTTGAATTAAGCGAATAATAAATACGCTGAAAACATAACGGGACAAGCAGAATATTTAAACATGTTTGAATTAACCATAACTATAGTCAGTTACAGCTTAAGCAAAGTTCTTGAGAGAAAGGAAGGCTGGGGAGGAAGCTGACAAAACTGAAAAGAGGAGGAGGTTTTCCTCCTCTCCAGCATTCTGTCTGCTTTCTCCTCCCTAGCCTTCCTTTCCCTCAAAAACTTTCCTTAACCTGTAACTGACTATAGGAAATATCCAAGTTTGAATTATCGCAAGCCTACTGCGGGCGCGCGTCTTGCACCTGATTCACACATGCTCTCGAGTGAAGGAAATGCCAAGTGAAGCAACGTGCTCGCTCAAGTCACCTCTACACCTTTGTGTAAGAGTGGGGCGGAGAGTACGCTAGTTTCGAAGACTTTGTATGGAAAGGCTCTCGTCGAGCCTAGTCCAGGTCACGCTCCCTCTTGCTTTAAAGGAATGCTGAACCGTAAATCGAATTTCAGAACACAATGCAGAATCAAACAATCGCTACAAATCCCAAAACGTCTCTCATAAAGCAGTATGTCCAACAGATCATCGTATTTTTGTAAAAGACGAGAGGCGCTCGCACAAGGGCCAAAAAGACGCGCGACCTTGCGATTCTCATTTCCTCCTCTTTTCGCTTTGACTCCACCAGGGTGCAGAGTGGAAAGGGAGTGAGGCCATATCTCCTCCTTCTCAACTCTTCTGCAATAAGACGACGTGAACATTCTCCCTCGTTCGCTCCTTTATTTTCCAGAATGATGTTTCGTGGTTTATGGCACCCCATTGAACACTTCTGCAAGCTTATTTGTGAAATCCAAATTTCGGTTCAGCTTCCCCTTAAGTGACTCTATTAGTGTGAGTGTTTGATTGCCGGTTTGTTGCATTTTGATTTTGTACTTTCGAGGTTGGCGTCAAACTCTTTCCACTCGTACGGCGTATACGTGCGTCGACCGATGCTGCACCTTCTAATTTCGGTTTCTGATGCATGCACACGAGAGATTGTATTAGGTACCTTGCACTATCTCTGGCAGCATGGTTACAGTGCCTGAAAAGTGTTTCCGACTGGTGTATTTGGCATCCGATACTGCCCATGCGTCGAATGTGGTCCCAAAGCGGCGACGGAATACGCCGCACGATCCATCGCGATCTCGGCGGTTGGTCGCGGAAGTTTTGACAAGAAAAGACGAGCGAACGCGATTGCATCTGTGTCGCATCGTCCCAACTTCCGCTGCCAAAGCTTCCACAAACCGTCGAGCCGGAGAGCGACCTCCTGCGAAGCGGGCGCTTGCCACGTCCACCTCCGCCGCCTCACCACACGGAGGGGGACCACGAACGAGGACACGCTAAATGCACCGGTCGGTGACTCTTTCCTGGCGCCGGGGTATCGCCGACGCGTACGGGGCTCTTGCTTCGCCAACGAGCCGTGGGTCTGAGGCCGCAAGGGTTTTGCAGTTTGCTCAGCACACGGGCCAGAACGGCCGCTCGGAGAGCGAGATGCGTCTGCTGATGCACCAGAGCCACGCTGGCTGCGTCATTGGGAGGGCCGGCTGCCGCATCAAGGAGCTGAGAGAGGTGGGTTCCTCCGGTCCATGTCTCGGGCGTCCCTTCCAAAACTGTTCCGAGCGGAAAAAATGCTAAAAAATCGATGAGAGCTACATGCTGTCGTCAAGCTTTGGCATAAGCGGGAGTTTCATTCGGCTCTAGATGCTTCTTTTAGTCAACGGCACTTCTGTCATATCGGAAGAAAGTGTCGTGGTACGCGAACGGGCAAATGACGTTTGTGGCGGCGGAGGACGATGAGGGAAAAGAGTGCCGTACCCCGAGCGTGGCTTTCTGTATTGCAAACATTAATTTTCTCAAATTTTGCATTTCAAAAAGTTGCCCTCAGAAAGAAAAGTTGCAAAAATTTTTTGCCCTCAGATAAATAGCCTCAAGGTGACAAATGCATAACATATCACTCTGTATTGCACAACTTAATGTTTGCAAAATATTTTCTACGCCAACGTTTTGCAACATTTGCAAAACATTGAGCCCTCTAAGCTAAAGCTGTTTGCAGCGGTCGACGACAGGTTACGGAACCGGTAGAAGTTCCGCCTCCAACGCACGCCCGTTTCCTTTTGTCCGGGCTTTTTCTGTGCGGGCAACGAGGTTTTGTCCGAGGCCGGAGGCTGGCGCTGGAGGGTTCCTAGCTTGTTGCCGACTGCACGGGCCGTGTGCCCAAACTGTCTTTCAGTCTACGGGGGCCAACATCAAGGTGCACGGCAGCTGCTGCCCCGGCTCCACGGAGCGCATCGTGAAGGTGACTGGATCGCCCTCGGTCGTGGTGGACTGCATCAAGCAGATCTGCGACATCATTGCGGAGGTGAGCGTTCCCGCCCGCCACATCATGACACAAAGCGCACGTTAAAAGAACACCAACACCCCCCAAATTTTTTTTTTTTTTTGTTAACCTATTTATTATAGTGTCAGAAGACTACCCAGTCATTATTTTGCTACAGTGTCGCTTATATTATTAGTAAAGTAAAAAAACACAACTGCTCGAAACTGAAACTCGACTGGGGAGAAGGAAGAAAGGGGGAGAGTGTTGCTGGAAGTCGCGTGGCTGTGCAACTTTTTTGTTTTTTTTAATTAGCATGTTTGCAGCTTTTAGAAGCCACAAAAAAAATGGGTATCATATTTTTCTTTTATTTTTATTATTCAGTGTGTGCCTTAGATGACCCACGACTTTGGTTGCCTTGGTGGTTGTGTCTAAACCGTAGAAAACGGCACATGGACCACAAAGGAGAGAGTGAAGGTGACACAAACCGCCCAGCTCTCGATCGGCGATTTTGGGGCTTAAAGGAAACGAATTTTGAGTCGCAAGTTGTGTTCTGTGCAGTTGTGCACAAATAAAAACCTTGGCGAGCATAAATACCCTGTCAGTGTCCCTTTAAGCCCTATACTCTGACTCACTAGTGGCACGTAGCGGTACCGAGGGTTCAGGAGTGAGAGCGTAACCCAAGCGGTTGGTGAAGAGTAGAAGGAAAAACCTCCCCCCTAACTCGGACCAACTATTTTGAGTCAAGAGATTAGCAAAGTCCCTCAAAAATTTTACAAAATCGGCTTTTCTCCTTGTCCCGCTTGGGGCTTCGGTGGCACTGCACACTACTATAGGGAGACAGAGTTGAGATTCCCCAAGGAAAATATAATGGAACATTGTGAGAAGGTGTAATGCCAACTTGGGAGGGGGCACGAAGGAGCACTATATTAAGAAGAAATGACCAAGAAATTAAGAAGAGAAAATAAAAAAAAAGTGCAATATTTAGGTTGTGATGTTCTTTTTGCTTATTGCGACAGCCTTTTATTTTGTGCTTCTATTTTGGAACAACGTGCCGAAAAAGAGGCACCTTTTGAAATTAGTTGTCATTCAAAATGATGCTAGCAAAATAAGCCTTGGGCTAAAAAGAAAAAAAAAATTCGGAGAAATTTTGTTTTGTAACACTCATCTGCAACCTAAGCATTTAAAAAATAGAAAAAATGACCGCATCTCCACGTGGTGATTGATGTTGATTCGGGCAAAGCTCTGGTGGTGCTGATGATACTGATTTTGTTCATAGGTAGTGCTGATGATGGTGCTGATTTTTTTTATCCTCTCCGGAGCAGCTTGCTCTCTGCGTAGACGCTGAGCCGCAGCATGCCGAGCTTTTCGTTTGTTTTCATCCATGTCAGAAAGAGAATGTCTGGTATAGAACATGGTTATATACGGATTTGAGCATTTGACCACAGCGCCCTCTCATCTATAAACGTTGAGCTAATGCTTACAAAGTTTATTGCGATTATATACGCATTTGACGGCAGCACCCTCTCCTGTATAGACGCTGAGTGGCTAAATGCAACGTTTCATGCATGACATAAACCCCAGCTCTTGAGTTACTTACACATCTCCGAGCCCCCTACTCGTCCCGCAGTTGTGGCCGAGTGGTTGAGGCGATGGACTAGAAATCCATTGGGGTCTCCCCGCACAGCTTTGAATCCTGTCGACTGCGCAAACATTTTTTCTTTTTTTAAGAAGACGGATGGGATGGCAATCATTGCGAGCACAGATGCCGGACAAGGCTAAACCCTCAAAAGCTTCGCCCCTAAAAAAAGAAAGTTCTGTGAGGAGTTTAGTGTTTTTAGAAGCAATTCCAAAACACACGTCTATCTCGGGTCAATGTTCCAAAATATGAGAATCGCCCCTACTTCGTAATGTGTCTCGCGACGTAAATATTCTGATAAAATGTGTTTTTTTCCGGGGGCAGTTCATATTAGGACATGTGTGTTTTATTCTAGGACTTAACAAAAAAGTGTCTTTCGAGAGTTGGGTGTTCTTTTAAAGTGAAATATTGTATAGTTAGTGTTTGCGAAATGAACACTATTATTATTAAATTCAACGATTGTCTGATAGTCCGGTCTCTTCTGGTTCTGAGGCCCCTTTCCATTCGAGTTTTCGTCTGTCAACGGTTTTGAGGGACTTTGTTTCTACGGTTGTCTGAGTGCAACGTTGCTGTGTGTCTCCTTTTCCCCAGGCCCCCGTGAAGGGTCTGAACAAGCCGTACGACCCCCACAATTTCGACCCGGAGTTTGCGCAAGAGTATGGCGGCTTTGCCGAGGGCCCCACGAGCACCACGGGAGTGACCGGGGTGACTCCCACGCCGGGACCGCGTGGGTGAGTGGCCAGATTCATGCGGTTGTTGTCGGCATTGCCAGATCATCCGTGTTGTCGACGTTATTAAATCGACTCGATTGTCGTCGTTATTTGTTACTATATTGACTCGGTTATCGACGTTACTTTATAGTTGGTGACAGCCTAAGAATTGAGGGATAGCTCCTCCCACCATAGCAGAGCGAACGCTGCAGAGGAGGCAACCTCCTCTCCAGCATTCGCTCTGTAAAAGTGGAAAGAGGGGGAGGAGTTTCCCTGAATTGTTAACCTGTCGCCACTATAGATCAACTCGGTTGCCGTCACCATTTGTTACTGCATCAACTCTGTTATCAACGTTATTCATCAGTTCCGTTGTCGTCAACATTATTACAGTATATCAACTCGGTTATTGTCAACATTAGATCAGTTCAGTAGTCATTGTTATTAGGCTCGAGTGTCGTCAACATTGCTAGATGAAATCAGTTGTGGTCACTGTCACTAGATCAACTTGGCTGTTGTCAATGTTATCAAGTTGTCGTCAAGTTTATTAGTTCCAGTCAGTCGTGAAATTTTGCTCCGGAGGAGAGAGTGATCGTGAAGCAACGGCAATTTGGTTTGTCCAATCGAAGGGCCTAATGGCCCGCAGGAATGTTTTTTTCACTTGGACTTATAAAAACTCCCCACTAAGGGGTCATGAAGCAATTTTTCAACTTTTTCCTGTTTAGCTTTCCTCCTCCACTCACAAATTGTGCATTGCACTAAACATTTCACGAAGACAGAGAGGAGGGAGTCCCCTCTTGCTTGGACCCTGGCTCGTACCCATTGTCCTCCTAGAAGATCAGCTTGTCGCTCAAAACCGGAACAAAAGTTGCTTTCCCCACCCCGTTCACCCCGAAGTGGGCAGTGCTGTGGAAGCTACGTGCTCAAGGCAGCCACACTTTTGCCACATGACCACGCTCTCTGGTGCATACCCACGCGCTGAGAATGAGGTCAGGTGATGAAAGGGAGGTGGCTGATTGGTCTGGCAAGTGCTTCCACTGCACTGGCAGCTTAGGGGTGAAGGGAATAAGGCAGGTTCGGTGTTGTGTGATGTGCATTTGGGCCGTGTGAAGCGCTTGGAGTATTGCAGATGTATCACAGTGAAAAGGCAGAGTGCTTTCGAAGGGAAAGAGGATGAAATAGTCTGCCATGATTTCAAATTTTCCTATCAAAATTCGGGCTTTTGATTTTCTGTTTTCTTTCTTTTGGCCCACTAAACAACATGTTATTAGTAAACTACCATTCTAAATTCATTTATCCCAGCCCAAAATTCGCTTCATGGGCCCTTTAATCCATTGGAAATTTTTGCTTCTTATTTGCTTCTTCCAATTAAAACAAAAGTTTCCTACTATTATTTTTTTTTTACGGAACATATTTGCCATTAGCTTTACTTTTATGGCAGTGTCTGCATGCACAGCAGATTTCTTAAATTTATTCTAAGGGGTTTAGATCTGTGTGGCCCTCGTGGTAGTATTCACTCAAAAAATGCTAGGGAAACATTCTAACGAACATAGGTACGCAAACGAGTCGGGGGAGGTCGATTGTAACGAACGAAGCCCCAGGGTTGGGTACAAACCGTTGTGTTGAGCATCCCGTTCCGTCCGTTAATCGACAGCAGTCCCGACAAATGACCCACAAATTTGAGAGTGTCGCGTTACTGGGCCTTGTGATCCTGGCACCGTAGGCCGAACGCCAGTCGTGCATTGTCGTGGGCGTCGTCTCAAACGCGGCTTCTCGGGCGGTGCAGGGGCGGCGGCGTGGGTGCAGTGCCCTTCTGGAGGGACGAGCCGGTGGAGCCCTTTGGCCGGGGTCCCAAGAGGGGCGGCCCCGCGGGCGGAGGGTCCCCCTGGGGCGCCCCCTCGGCGGCCCCCCAGGCCGCCCTCCCTCTCCAGAGGGGAGGGGCTTACGGGGAGGAGGCACGAGCCCCGTGGGGAGGAGGGGGCACTGCGCAGCCCAGGTGAGGAGGGAGGGTTTGTCTCCTCGATTTGACCCAGGGTTGCCGAGAAGGCGAGGACGGCAGAGTGCAGTCTCTTTCGAGCGCCCGGCCTCCGGCATGCGCTCGTTGCCTTTCTCTATGCGTGCACTCGACGCTTGGGTGACGCGGATGCATCGTTGAAGGTTGGGAGCTCGCGCTGAAGGCCGGGCAACTGAAAGACCTCCCCCCATTCTCAGCCTGCGGTGGCTGCTTTGCGAAGTCGACTTTGAAATGAAAGTTCATTTTGGAATCGCTCTCAATGCTTCCAACAGCGTAAATGTTGCTGAAAAAAAAAACAGTTGTTCGTTCCGGGGAAAACTTACTGTGCGACGTATGTGTCCTGTCCAAAAACATTAAAAAAAATAACTTTCTTGTAAGTGAAAGGAGGTAGTTCAGGGGAAGCACACCCTTTATGAAAACTAGCGCGTGTAGACAGAAACACTGGTGCTAGTGCTACGTCTGCTCTGAGCGTTAGATAGCCTGAAGGAAATTAAAAGAATAACTTTGGGCTCATTTTAAAAGTTTAGCAAGTTTCTGAGTTGCTTTAGTGCTTTCCCCTCAAGAACTGTATATAGTAAGAAAAGTTTAGCCCCCTAGAGGAGTGTTGCTAGTTTTCTCCTTCATGTGTGACTTAAGATATGTGTGCGTCCTTTTAAGATAAGTTATTTTATGTTTTATTGAAATGGACACAATTCAAACACAAAAGGCCTTTCTTTTTTTTCTCTCTGGCAATTAAATTGTAAAAACTACTTTCTTGCTTTTTGCACAGATCATGTTTAGGGCTAAAGTTTCATAAAAAAGTGTTTAACAAAGTCTGTGACACAAAAATTTAACACGTTAAATTTAGCTGACTAACTTGCTGCCGAGTTTAGCGGGAAACCTCAAGCTAAATTTCGCTGATTTAGCTCGGGAAAGCTTATAAACTTTGAAAAAAATGTTAACCTCCTACAATAATGTCCTCGAGGCGTAGTAGGAACTCTGTAAATAAATAAACAACCACCCAATGCAGCTCAAAACATGCATGTAGGATTAAGATAGCTCTTTTCTTAAGGTTCCAGGCAGTCTAGAGGAGTGGAGGGGCGTGCTCTTTTCCTTCCACTCGAGGCAGCCAAGTGTTCCTCGAGATGAAGAGGGGTTTGGGTGGCCCAGCGGGTGCTTAGCAGACGCACGTCATTTCAGGGACTTCCAGCGGCCGTTCAGGGGAACCGGAGCTCGAGGCGGCTACTCTGGCAGGGGCAGCTACAACGGTGAGCGGTGGGAACTAGGCCTACGAGAAACAAACGCCATTTGTCAGTCATTGTACCATTGTGCAGAACCATAGTCGGTGACAGGTTGAGAACTTGGCGGACTTTCCGCATCCAGCGCGTGCTCGTTGCTTTCCGCCGGGCTCTGGCTGCACGTAGGACGAAATGTTATCAAGGGCAGAAAGCTTGCACTCAGGTTGGAGCATGTGCTCGGTTCTCAACTTGTCATCGACTATATATTGAAGTGCTATAAGCGAATGGAACAAGCTCCCTAGAGGTGGTGCTAGCTCGGCATGACCGACTATTTTTAACAATTCTCTACTTAAAGGGGCACTAAACCACTTTCTGCGATAGTCTATCATAACTCAATCTATTTATCTTAGTCATAACTCAGTCTATTTATCATAACTCATCTATTTATCATAACTCAATCTATGGGCTTTTAGCATCCCAAGAAACCAGACATTATGTTTATGCATAGCCTATTTCGCTATTAAAATGGATATCAAAGATGAATTACCTCGGAGCTATCGCTGACATCGGATGGCGCCATAGGACGAGGAGAAGGGCTTCTCCTGTGCATCTCCTCGTCCGATGGCGTCATCTGGTGTCGGCGACAGTTCCCAGGTAATTGATCTTTGATATTGATTTTAATAGAGAAATTGGCCACGCGTAGATCTCATTTTTTTTTTTGGATGCTAAGATTTTATAGATTGTGCTATGACCATAAATAAACCCTCTCAGAAAGATGTTTAGTTTCCTTTTAAGCACTTTTCTGTCATGTTCTTGGTTTCATTGTGCTGTTATGTATTGCTTTCTGTTCTTGGCTTCATTGTGCTGTTATGTATTGCTTTCTATTACGGTTTTGTGTGCATTTTTTGCCTCTGTGTTCGAGAGAAAGCTGGCAGTATAGACAATGAAATAAATAAATATGTCCGCAACCCTTTTATAACAAACCACGCAGCTTCCCAGTCGACGAAAAAAAAGTCCATGTTTTTAAAAACTGTGAGTCTGAAATTCTGTTGTGTTCGGGTTCTGATGTGCCGAAATATGCGATATATTGTCCTTATACGTAGGGTTGTATGTTTTCGGTATGTCTGCTATTCCCCAATAGTAACAGCTGAGCCGGTTTAGCGAGCTTGGGGAAAACCGAAAGAAACCCATTTGGAGCTGTCCTTGGATAAGAAAAACAGCAAAATTTGCAGAACACTAATTACAACTACAGCTTTAGGCTGTGTTATTCAAGTACGCCCTCCGCCCCACCTCTTCCTCGCTGTCTGCATGACTGCTGCTTTTTTTTTTTGTGAACCATACCCATTGTTTTGTTTTCTTGTATCGGTACTGGGACATTTTCCAAGTTCTATTGGGGACACGCGTGTATGCGCATGTCCTGTACGCTTTAAAGGGAAGCCCAAGAAGTTCTTGAAGAAAGCAGTTAGGGGTAAATTCTAGCATATTTTTGTCCCGTGACATTGAATATTATGAGAACTTGACGCGAAAGTATCAATAGGTGCGAGGAAAATCGAAGATGATGTCATGCCCGGGAGTTTCGACTGCCTTGCGCATGCTGCTAGTGGTGGAACACGTGCGGCGTTTTCGACTGCTCGAGTTAAGGTCAGACTCACACGGGGCCAGGGGCGGATTTAGAGGAGGGGTCCGGATGTCTTGACCCCCCTCTGGATTTCTGCATGCATAAAATTTGGAGCGTGAGACGAGGGAGAGGGGGAGGGGGTTCCTAAAGATGTGGTACGCCGATAACACCTGACCCCCCCCCCCCCCCCCCCCCCCGCGCAGGAAATTTCTGCATCCACCCCTGGACGGGGCTGTTTTCTTATCACTTCTTACGTTACCTGACAAGTCGCCGGGACATTCGTACGTCACGCACAGAGCTGCTCCTTGAACCGGTTGCCACGCTTCATTCGAAGCACGGATATCCTGGCGACTCGCAGCGTAGGTGGTCGTAACGTAACTTGGAAAAACGCCCCCGTGTGAACCAACGTTGCTGAAGGTGCGGAAGCGTTGGGCTCTCAGTAGAACACAACGCGACTCCTCCCTTGCACCAAACGCGCCGGGAAGGAGGGGCTTGAATGCTGTTTCGAAAGCACTCTTTCGGCTACTTGGGGCAACGTGCAACAATCTGAAACATAGTATCGACGTTTGGGATCCTGGAGTCCAAGCGAAGACAATTTAAGTGCATTTTCTTAAGGCACGCTATTTCTTGAGCTTTCCTTTAACGTATTACTTGTCCGACACCCAAAAAAAAATTCAGGAAAACGCCGAATCTGGGAAAATCTCTATAACGAGGAATTCTCCATATACCAAGTGCATCCGACCGAGTTCATTATAAACGGGTTCTACCGTGTGCATCGTCCTCACTTCGGGGTATTTCGTGCACACTCAGCCATCCAGGGGCAAAGTTGTTCCAACACGCTCATTTTTTTGTCGTATCGCGGTTTGTTGAAGAGCCAACTTGGCCGGGACTCCATGTGCTGACGTACCTCTCCGTTCTCATTGCAGGGAGATAAGCGGCGGTTCCGGTCCTCGAGAGGAGGATTTGTTTGCAGCTGGCTGTTGTTGATTCCATGGTGGGCCTCCGTCCTCGACTCTGGGGCGTTGCATACCGGGGTTTGTGGGGCTGCATTGCACCGCGCAACGTGTACCGGGTGCCTAAGGAAAAAGCTTGCGGCATCTCTTTTTACGCCGCAAACATAAACGGAGCCTCGTTCAAGCTTTGGCATCTGGTCCGGATCACAAGTGCTACATCTGGGCCGAGAGCGAGCGTTCGGTGACGCAGAGTTTATTTTTGCGGTGGAAAATACGACGTAAACTTCTTTCCCCAGACACCTAGTACTTCGTAAAGCTCAAACCGAAAACGTGCTGTGGCTTCTTAGAGGTGGTACACCAGATTTGGGGAGTGACGTGTGCGGGGCGTTCTCAGCAAGCCGGCATCAGCTTCCCGCACCGGCCACCGGGGCCCTCCCGTCTGGAAGACTAGTGATTTTGTTGTTCTGTCAAACTTGGAAACAAGAAATCACTATCTCCGAACGGTGGGCGCCCTCGTCACAACATCGGCGGGCGCCGCCGGCGACGACGGCATCGGCTCGTTCTGGCTGCCAGCACCCAAGTTCCGAGTTAGAGGGCGTTCGGGGTTTCGAGAGTTGCTGTTCATGAGCGTTCTAAAACTGCATGCTTACTACACACTTCTTTTTTTTTTGTCTTAGTCTCGGAGCAAAAATATAGATAATTACAACTGCAGTGCAAGCGATACTTGGAAAAGGGTCCTGTGTGATCACCGTACTCCGTTTCACTTTGCGATGAACGGCAGCGAACGCTGCTAGCTGTCGGGACCAATTTAATGCCGGGCGAACGTCGCGCAACCTATGGGAGGGACAGAGCGACGTGCACAGCGTGCAGTCACGTGACGTGTTCGCGCCGCTGGATTGGCTGGGACAACTGGTGCTGTCTGCTGTGGTCCACTGCAAGGCGAAACGAAGTGGAGTGCAAGTTGTAGGCAGAATGAGAACTTGTGACAACGCGAAAGGAATGTGGTGGAAGTAGCTTTTCAGCATTCGCCCAACAGAAATGCATTCAGGAAGTGAACCTTATTGCTTACCAAGACAAATTATGCTGTTCCAGAAGTTTTTATATTTCTGCCTTGTATTTAGTCTCAGAATTGATTTCATTCACTCCAAAATTAATTAGTTGGACTGTTTCTGAGCCACCCTTTGTTTTTGTTTTCTTTGCAGGTTGCAACGCTCAAAATTTTTTTGCCTCTTTGGATGTCGGTTTTCGTACCGAGAAGATGTTTTGACGGAAAAATTGTTTTTATTGTCATCATGAAGAGATAGAGAGTAATCTTGTTTAGACAGCATTGTTGATGTGTTTTTTTTTACTTTTTTTTTTTTTTCCATCTGAACCAGCTCATCCGCCCACTCGTTGCTACGTGACACTGTCCCGGTTCAAAAGAACTTTTTTTTTTCTTTTTTCTTTTCAGTTTAATTGTTTCTTAGTCCAAAGGTGCAACCTTTGATGCTTTGTACAAAAACATAATAAAGCTTATATGAGTTGTCTACGAGAAATTTATGCAAAGCTTATTGCTATCCGGCGCAAATCATACAACTGTTTTGTAGGTATCTGCTTGTTCTCATTTTGTAATTTTGTTCCTTTACAAAAGCACAAAATCTACAATTTTTATATTGGTATTTCTATTGGTGGGGTTTAATTTCTATTTTTCATTTGGTATGGCACGTACACAGTGCTAAAGTCGCGATCATGGGAACGTAGTGCCATTGCCTTCTCTGCGTGCTAGCTGGGTACGAACAGATACAACCAAAGCCTTGCGAAGTGATTGGTTGAGCAGTATCCATAAGATTTTTTTTTTATAGTATCCATGTGTCCAGCTAGCAAGCATGGGAGGCAATGACCCTCTGGGAATGTAGTGCCTTGTCCCTGTCGTTTGTGTTATTTTCAATTGTCCCTGTCTGTTTGTGCTTTTAAAGGGATACTTCAACGAAATTTAAAATATTCCCGTTGTGTTCAAAAATAGGTTGAATATGATCCACAATATCCGTAAATGACAATCGCACGTTTGTATTTTGAGCCTGGTGGCTGTATTTTTCGTTATAAACGGCCCACTCTGGCAAGCGCCCTGAGAAGGCCCAGCGGAGACCACGTGACATCCAACGCAATCGTGACGTAGGTCGTCTCAAGACGAGCAAAGCTACGGCGAGGCTGACGTTGAGAGGATGGCCTAGTCGTTCCAGCCACCGAAGCGGCTGCTTTTGTACAAATTTTGAGGGACGGGTTAATCTTCTATAATCTTGTAGGGGGACAATAGTGACTTTTCTGACACACAAAAGGCATTCTCGGGAAGAGGGGAGTTCCTCCTGCCCCTCTTGTCGTGGCCGGAGGCGAGACAACCTCCGTCACTAGCTGCCAAGGTTGCTAGACGGGCATTAGAAGCGAGGCGTTAGCGACATCCACCAGGTGCTCTTTGCTAATCGTTTAATTCGTTTTAAAATTCCTTTTCGTGACTTTTTTAACAAGATATTGGTATGTTCGATTTGATGGTGCTTTTTTGAACACGCATAGACCAAAAAATGAGCGCCGAAATTTCGTTGTTGTATCCCTTTAAACCTTATACCTACAATGGACCAACTAACCCAAACCAAAGTTTTAATGCGTCAATGGCATTACCTACGCTTGCACATATGGAGGCCGTGGTAACGTTGGCTGTTGCAATCGCCATTTGGGTCCTCTCGAACATTGAAAGGGTCGCTTCAAACCACCCATGCCTAGAGAGTGATTCTTCACCAGTATAAGCGTTTTTGGCACCATATGCAGTCAACTTATCAGCCTGGCTTATCTCCACGTATATCTCATGATACTGTTCTTTGTGCATATTTCTAACAGGAAAATTGTTTTTCAATGGGTGGTGGTGCAAAGTTGTGTACACTTGTTTCACTGGTGTTTAAAATCAAATCTTTATTTCCAAAAAACTGGAGGGATCGCCAGACGAAAAGCTGTTAAAAAAACTGCTTGACTGGGTCTGGGATCCCTTTACATTGGCAGCAGTTTTGACACTAAAAAACATGTTATATGTATATATTTAAGAAAAGATTGCAGCAAAAACATGCAATTTAAAATCCCACTACGCAAAGCTACACACAGTACAAGCGGAGGTCTTTTTTCTTTAACGTGTATATGTTTGTTGTTTGTAATATACTGTTTAATAAGCATGATACATTATAATGTAGTGACTGAAAGTTGTAGTTTGTGCGAGATTGAGGAAGCACATATGTCGATCTGTACGGCGTGTGTAAACATTCCTTCATTTTGAGTTCTGAAATTATATACGAAACATCTACATATGCGTCAGGTGAGAAACGGATCGCAGAGTAAACGGTATTCTTGCGTGCTCGCAACAGGAAGTATTCTAAATTTTGTAAACAAAAATTCTGTGTACGATTTTTTTTTGTTTTCCAGTAGTAGTACATTTTGAAGATTAGTTTTTGTCGTAGCCCACACGAGATGGCATTAATTTAAATGAGACTGAAATAGAGCGTGGTAAATTTGTAGCTTAATGTTGGGGTGTAAAACACTCCGACAACGATCGAAAATTCGAGAAAGTTAACCAACTAGATAGTTGACATTAAATTCCCAGGTCAAGTGCTCCGGAAAAAATGCACCTAAAGTTTTGTGTTTATTTCCTAGTTCAATTTCCGAAGTGGCAAGTCGGATAGTATGATTTACCACGATTGGTTTATTGGGGAGGCACTCACTTGATCGAATGACGTTTTTGCGAACGCCCACGTTTGACCGAATGACGTACTTTAGCGAATAGTCGGACGCAGCAAAGCGGCGTTTTTGGGTGGGCCAAATGGGTTCACATTTTTGTAATGAGCCGCCGCAGACTGTCGCCGCGAAGCGGCGTAAAGCGCAGCGCGGCGGATGGGTTAACCGTCTATTCGCTCAAATGTCGCTGTTCGCTAATAGCGAGTTCGTTTCACACGCACTGGCACCGTTCGAGTTCTCTCCCAGAATGCATCGCACTCACAGAGTGTTGCACGGAAAACTGTACTCAAACGAACTCGCCCAATGCACCGAGTGCGAAAGACTGATGCTGCCGCCATCTATGTTGTAGAAAAGGTACCGACTTCAAACCGAAACTAGCGCCTTTCTGTTCGAAGTGATGCGTGAGAATGCGAGAATGCAGTCGGCTACCAACGTTTATCTAAAAACGTTGGTCGCTGCAACCTGTAGTTTATAGTTGCGATGACTTCAAGCAGCTCGGCTGCCGTAGAGATAGTTACAGACGGCGTAAATTGATGATGCTGTCCGAGCAGAAGCTTGATCCGCTTGAGCATGGTATTATGCGTGAACCACTGAAAGGGTACGGCTTAAAAATAGCCTGTTGGAATATCCAGCAAAACTGGGACTTTCGATTTGGATCGTCATTATAGGTGGATCAGAAATTAGCCTTGGTGAGGGCGTCGAGAACGAGATCTTTCTCGAACAAAATACGACGGGGCAAGTTAGCTGACGTAGGTAAATGTTAAACATGATGATGTTGCCCAATCCTCGGGTAAAGTTACCATCTTTAGCTTTCTCTGATGCTTATTGGGCAGACAGAGGTTTCTGCTGGGGGAGTTTTGCCGACAAATGTTAAATTTTCCACCCGCACACGGGTGATGATAGACATCTCGGGGGCCGCTGTTACGTTTGTTCTGAGCATTTCTTTACACACTGGTATATTTCAGCGTTTGTACGACAACAGAGTGATTTAAAACCTGCAAATAAATCACGGGTTGTCCAATTGCTTCCTTCGGAAAATAGCAGACGCTCACAATTCAAGCTCGCGTTTGATTTCGTGGTCCGCGGGGCGCGATTTCTATCAGAAAATCTACTTTTTTTTCCGTTCGGTTCCGCGACACATCGTAGCAGACGAACCCTCGTCGTCTGCTCCTGCTCCTCGCCGGCCCCGCCGGAGCGAGGCATGACGGGATTGCATTTTGGCGCACTCCCGATTTTCTCGGTGCAGCGAGTGCATGCACGCGTGGGGTATCAGCACTGAAACGAACTCGGAGAGTGCAACCACTCGTGGAGTGCCGGCCGAAACGAACCCGTTCCACGCTGCGAGTGGGCACGCGTGGGCACGAGGGCGGTGAAACGAACTCGCTATAAAATGTCATTCGCCTTTGTTGCGTTTACGTTGAGCCGAATTACCTCAGACCTTTTTTAGAGCAGAGTTTGCATATTACTTTAGCAACATCACCAGAGAAAAATAGGCTTGTATCGTCTGCATAAATAACTGCGAGTTCAGGTCGGCACATTGATACTTTAGACCCATGTTGTAAAAAAAAACTATCTCCAAACTCCGGTCTAAAAACATGCTTTTCGTGCAAGGCTCGTCAAATTATGAGGCGCTGGAGAAATGCGGCCTTCTGCGTTAAGTCCTTATTTCGAACTCTTTTTGTTCGCCTTCCGCCCATTGAAAAGCATGCGGGAAGGGCCTTAGAACCAGGGACTCAAACCGTAACCGTAACCGAAACCGAAAACCGTTTAGGAACGAAATTTTTTCTGTAACCGTAACCGGAACGAAACCGTTATTTGATATTTATAAAAACCGTAACCGTAACCGGAACCGTAAATTATTCACCGGTAACCGGTTTTAACCAATATTAACCGAAAAATAAACTATTAGTTTTTCTGAAGTATGACCTGGAGGAGGGATCTTAAATTGTTGTGGCCATTTGACAGAGTTACTGTCAGCGAGTGGTGCATCTGGTTACATATTTCCATTCAATCTGACTTTAGGATTAAGAATACTCAGATTGAATTAGTGGTCGAGCTTATAATTAAAAAAATTCTATATTTCTAAATCTGCCACACTCCTACATCGCTACACGTATTCAGTACGTGTCGCTTTCAGTGTATTAACTAATAAGTTCGAATTCTCAGATGTCCATCCAACTCGGTTCTATCAAAACCACCGATGTTCCTGACATGCAGTAGCCAGTATAAAGAAACGAGGTAAATTGACCATCATGCAGAGCTGGCGGAAAAGAAAACCTGGGCCCGTTTGCTCGAAGCACTAACCGCGGCTAAAGTTAGCAGCAGTACCTAGGAGAGAGAGTTTGAAATCACGTGACTGGCGGCTGGGATGCCGGGAAGCATGGCGGCGCCCCGGTGCGTGAGCGCCGCTCGCTTTGTAACTAATATGTCGTTGTAGCTGCACTATCGGGCGCGTTAGTCAGCAACGAATGGTGCAGGAGGCTTTCGCTTTGCCTTACCTCGCTTAAATCGCAAAGCACGAGCAATGACTTCGCGGCATTTGTTGCATAGTCTTTCGATTCTCGCCTTTCTAAGCCTAAATGAACGCGATAAGTGTCGGCATGGCAACGTCTTTGGAAAGCGGATTGCCTTGACTCAATCGACCGGATATTAATAGTACACAAAAGAAGACCAGCGTCCCGCCCCGACAGACCTTTTTCTAAATTACCCAAGCATCGAGAAGAACGCTGGAAGTGTAATTCTATGATCCGCGCTCGCTGTCCTTCCTCTTATAAAAGATTCGAAGTAAA